ACATCATCTTAGTATTAATCTTGAAAAAGTAAAAACGTTTTTTGTTCAAAATTTCATTTTTCGTCTCCAAACTATAAAGAGTAACGTCACAACTCTGGTCAACTTCTCCTCTCTACCCAAGTATGGTCAACTTCTTCTCTCTATCGTGAGCCGCTGTTGTTACTCTCTTGCTTGCTTATAACATATCTGTTACTCTTTTGCTTGCTTGTAACATCTTTGCCCTTGTTTTCTAAAACCTTCTTTTAAATTGAGGTCAGAGCATACGTCGCTTGGCCGTAAGCTTGACTTAGCTCACTTGTCGTTGGAAAGTGAATGCCGCACAATCGCAAGTCTGCTGCCATCAACCGTGCGATTGTGACTATATAACGTAATTAATTATGTCTATACTTTATTAGGAAAGGAAAGTAAAATCCAAGCTCAAGCATGAAGCTAATTAATCATCAATTAAACAAGATAAAAAACAAGTTGGACGTCATTAATTCTATCATTTGTTTTAATTGAGAGCCAAATATAGCTGAGTTGTTTCCAAACTTTGTATGTACTTAAAAATGGGTATGGGGCACTTAAGAACACATTCAAAAACATTTCTTCCATCAACGTCTCTGCAATTATATATCTATCTAACTTCGTTTAAATGTGCAGAGAATCAATCAATGAACAAAATGCAAACAGACCTAAAACCTACAAATTGATGCTATAACAATCTAGCACCTACTTTCTGTCAACTGCTCTTGAACTGCTTTGTAACACACAAGACTGCAAAGAGGTAGCTTCGACTTTGAATCCCGATACTTGTATGGATTCGAACACGATGGCCCTGCACAGTTTTCCCGCCGAGGAGGATAGCTGAAAACGAACATTGTATAGGGATTTTCAGTCAAACAAAAAGAATGCTTTGGGGATAAGTAGGGCGTGAAGAAGATGAGTGACACCTGCACGGTTGAGAATCAAATATGCTCGGAAGACCCATATCGTTCGGAAACGTCACCACAGTACCAGAAGGACCCATTACCCATCTGATGGTGTTTGATAATAGCTTCTGAGCATTTGCAGCCTTCTCCTGTGGAAATTGAGGGAATAGAATCAAGCTGATGTTCTTGTACTATATAAAACACCAACACAATTAAGAACTTATAAGATCGACCCTACACGGTACCTGAGCTAATTCTTCCTGGCGTTTCTTCTTTTTATCTTCCCGCTTCTTTCGGCTTGAATCTTGACCGAGTATCTTTCTAATTGCCTCCGCCTAACAGGCTTAAATCCATCAGGAACAATGTCGAATGGATATGAATGATTCATAATGCACACATTATGGTGAAGAGAACAAACCTCGGATTCCCTAGCAGCCTTCTCGACTTGCATTCTCCGTCTTTGCGCAGCTTCCACCTTCTTAAGTTGCTGTTCCACATCGGTAAGCTTCTCTTTTTGCTCTATGAACAAACAAAATGAAAATAATTAGGTTACAACTAAGGTAAATGAAAAGCTGATATTAATGTGGAAAGGTCCATATAGAAGTCGCTTACTTCTGGGTGGAGCGGGCGGTAATCCATTTGGGAACTCGATCAAAGTAGCACCTCGAGCCGATGATGCATCTTTGCTAGATTGAAGAGCTCTTTGACGAGTGGTGAGAGTCATTTCTCGCTTACCATCCATCAACGTGTCGATGGATTCCTTCCTCTGCTTCTTATGGTTAGCATCAACGACGCCATCAGATGCTGATTCTTCTTCTTCCTCGTAATCTTTGTCATCAGACCCCAGTTCTGTTCTAGCCTTCTTCCCATCTTTGTCATGCTTCAATGCACCATAATTCTCCATGCTAGAAATGCTTGAAAGTTTCCGCTGCTTCTTGCTCGGTCCTTCACCATCATCATGGTATCCTACGGAAGCTCTAGAAGTTTTGAGCTTCTCCAAATACCGTATCTCATCATCATCATCATCATCGAAATCTCCATCAAGAACACGCTTCTTTGAGGCTCTTTTACTCTTCCGAAGCGACTCTGCTCCATGCTTCCCAGAAGAATTCCTCCCCGACGTCTTCCCTGTCAAAGACTCCTCCTTTTCAAGACCAAAACCACCTCTAGAGAAGTCCCTCCATGGAACTCCGTGCAATCCGCCTCTTCTTTCCGAAGGGGAATGATTTCCATTAAAGGTTTCCTAACACATTAGAGAGAGTACTATATCAGTTTCAAGTGTTCCAGTTCGAACAGAGAACTTATTTGGTTATAACCTACACAATAGCACTAACATAAACTTCTGTAAAAGAAACGTTTCCAAGCGTTACCAAGTTTTTAGTCATCAACCCCACGATTAATACTACTTTATAACTCGATTACTTAAACTTAATCACATAAACCTCCTATGAACATGAAAAGAGAATAAATCAACGCAAACAAAGTGCAAAGAGCAAGGATAATATCGGTGCATCGACTAGCAAAACAGTGTCTCGTACCAGAACATTGTTCTTGTGTTGCTGCCTATGAATATCTGAAGGTTGAGAGCACTTTGAAGAACTTCCTTTAGACGAGCCGTTGGGAGGGGAAGTGGCTTGAATAGTGCGAGTGACCCCGCCAACCTTAAGCTTAACCTTCTTGACCTTATTATCATTTCCTACTCCTTCGACGTAAAGTCCTTTCTGTCCAGAACTTGAACTTTCACCACCATACCTTCCACCATATGGATCAATGCTGCTCGACTCCGATTCAATACCATCCGATCCCTTGCTCGTGCTTCTCCAATTAGCAGGGGCAAGGACACCTTCACTGCTGCGTTTATTATCATTAGCATTCCGTCCAGGTTCGCTACGGTAATATGAATTATAACTTCCATCCTTTTTGCTTCTTTTAAGAAAATGTTCGTTTTCAGCCCCGCTAGCAGATGAGCCTCTAGATACACATTGATTGAGACTTAATTCTTTTCTCCTAGAAGCACCATCACCTCCACCATTCTCATCACTAGATAACTTGACTGCATCATCAGAAGGCGGTGTTGACGATGAAGGTGAAGGATCAAGACCTTCAGTAAATTGCTGTGACTCAAGTCGAGGTCTACGAGAAGTTCGACTCCTTTTCCTCCTCATGGTAGAGTTTCCATAAATCCCTGAAGTCCCGAACTCTTCCATAACTGATTTTATCCCTCAATTGGTAGTAAGACTACACAACAATAGACCTTAAAAACCAAATCACAAAAACATTCAACACCCCTGAAAAGAACCAAAAAACAGTAACTTCAGAAGAATGTCTTAAACAGGATAAAATCCACAGCCATTCACAAAACACGATTCAGAGAAACAAAACATATACATACACATATACATATACATATACAACACTAGAACACAGAGAAAAACATCACATTAACAAACATCCAAACTAAAACTTAAGAATAAGAACAAGAACAGGGAGAGACAGAACGAGAGCAATGATTCAAGGAATCAAAGCATGGGGAACAAAACTCAATCCGTGATCAATTGCAGCCTCAACAATGACAAATCAAAAGAACCCTCAGATTAATGTGAGAAAGAGAAACAATCCATTCACAACCCCTCCAAATCATAAGCCAAAAACACGAACTCCCAAACAAATCGCTCATAAAAAAACCCACCAAACATGCATCGTTCCTCACAAAGAACCAAAACCAAAGACAACCCACCAAGCCAAAACCTCAAAAAAAGGCAAAAAAATCAACAAACCCAGAAGCCAAAATCCAAAAAATAAAAAACCCAATACACACCAAAAGGAAATTACCCCATTACCTGGAGAAGACACAGCAACACCACGCTCAAGTCGCTCAACCCACAAACCCACAAACGAAACGAGAGACACCCAGATGGAAAAACTCGAGAAAGAACAAAAGTTAGAGAAAAGAAAAGGAGGGAAGAACCGATTGAAGAAGGGGAGTGAGAAGGGAGGACGAAAGAGGGAGTCGATGCTAGAAAAGGGAATTAGGGTTAGAAGCGAAGAAGCAAAATTGGGGAAAATAATGGGAATGAGAGAGAAAAAAGAAGAAAGAAAGAAGGGGGAGAGGTGGTGGTGATGGTAAAGGAGGAGAGGAGGACTAATAATCTCCCGCTTGTTCACCATTTTTTGGCTAATTCCACTCCACCCCTTCCCTCAAAATCCCACGCTGTGATTTTTTTTGGGTTTCCCCTCTTTGTCAAATGCGGTCACGCGACTCACTGAGCCAACTCGGACATACCCATCTTTCTCTTTCTCTTCGCCCCTTTCTTTCTTCTCTACTTCACTACCCGCGCTGCAAGTATGTGCGCATTTTAGTTAAACTGCGCCATTTTCAGCGCAGTTTAGCGTCAATGGAACGTTCCTTATTCGTTACACGTGTGGTATATATACAATGACGTAAATGCCCCTGGAGATTTAAGATTTTACGGAAGTGCCACTAGAAGATTTCAGCTTTATGTAAATGTGCCTCTTTTGGCAGGTTCCAAGAATCAGACAGGTCGTTTATTGGAGGATTCTTTGTTCTTTTCTTTCCATTTAAAATTCGTTGATTTGCTTTCTTATTGGTCCTTGTGTTTTAAACTTTCATTTAAAATTCTCATTTTAATATTACCCTCAATTCTTGATTGGGTATAAATAAATAAATAAATATATATTAATTTAGTTTCTATTATTATTTAAAAAATTTAGTGTTATTTTCTTTTTGATACTTTTTTCGTATTTTAGTTTTTATACTTTTAGATATCTAAATTTAATATATGGTCGGTTTTATTTTGAAAATTGAGTCTTTTAAATATTAAAATTAGTTTATATAGTTGAAACATTTTTGTTTATGGATCTTTAACATTAAAAAATGTCTATCAAATTTCTTAACTTATAATTAGTCTGTGACATATTTTTTTAAAAAAACATTAACCAATCTATTAGCTATAAAATTGAATTATGTCTAATAATTTTAAATGTTTAGCTTTTTGATGTTTTCTTAAAAAAAATTGAATATGTCAATCAATAACCCACTTAACACAAAATTAAAAATTTAATGACTCAAAGTTGAACTTATTTTTTTAAAGTTTGGGACACAAAATTGAAACTTCATTAACTTATTAAAAAGTTTAGAGACCCTTAACTAAATTTAAGGACTTCAAGCAATCCCAGCTCATTCAGCACGATCCCAAGCTCGTCATAGGCTGCTCGGTCTATGCTTTAGGGCACTGCGTTGCACTCATCTTACTCAAAACTTCTCTTCTTCTTGTGGCATTAGGACATATCTCCAAGCAAGGCTCTTTGAGTATGCTGTCTTCTTCAGGCAGAGGAGGAGGAACACCAAATTTGAACTTTGACATTCGGTTGCCCCACAAGGAAGATAAAAAAGGAAAGTGAAGTTGATTAGATTGATACAAGGTGCTGATATGGGTATCATTAAACAGGTGGGTTGTGTCGAGGATTGTTGGAAGAGGAGTCTTACATCGGCTAATTAAGGGGTGGTCATGGGTTTATAAGTAAGGAATACATTTCCGTTAGTATAAGGCATTTTGGGAAAACCAAAAGCAAAGCCACGAGAGATTATGCTCAAAGTGGATAATATCATACCATTATGGAGAGTCGTGATTCTTAACCGGTGGCAGCTAGGATGCATATTTCACTCCGAATTTTGCTAAGTTCAACCGCCATTTGAGCCACGACACGTTCCATACACTAGTCCCAAAAGCATTTCCAAACTATGGATTTATTTGATTCAATTCAATAGGGAATCTGGCTGATGATATCTTCATAGAACTCGAGTCAAGATGTAAATAGCAGTGTTTGTTAAGGTTAAAAAAAGGAGAATTCACACTATATTCAGTAATTTCATTCACAATCAAGTCACAATACTTTGGTCCAAACATTCCACGAGATCTGGCTAATGGCACATTTCATACACGTTCCAAACTATATTCAGCCACGATGTTAGAATCACGACTCTCTACAATGGTATGGTATTGTCTACTTTGAGCATAAGCTCTCATGGCTTTGGTTTGGGCTTCCCCAAAAGACCTCAAACCAATGAGATGTATTCCTTACTTATAAACCCATGATCATTCCCTAAATTAGTCATTGTGGGACTCTCTCCCAAAAATCCCAAACACACGACACGTCCATACACTAGTCCCAAAGGCATTTCCAAACTATGGATTTATTTGATTCAATTCAATTGGGAATCTGGCTAATGATATCTTCATAGAACTAGAGTCTACATGTCAATATAGCAGTGTTTGTTGAGGTTAAAAGGAGAATTCACACTAAATTCACTAAATTCAGTAATCTCATTTCAATCAAGTTACAATACTTTGGATCCAAACATTCCAGAAGATCGATACAATATCATGTAATAGGACTTATCCGTTCTACCCACAAAGTTACCCAACAGTGGAATAGAAATGTTAAAGTGATAGAATTACCTGACAACTATAGTCATTGAAGTTTGGCTCCATTAGTAGAGGAATTCCCATCTGGTTCTTGAAGAAGCTCTACATCACAATCAAGATTGTCGAGATTTGTTCGAGTCGAGTCATCAAATGAAAAGTGTGTGCAGAATCAAGAGACTCGAACGAACAAGACATTCCCAAATAACCAGTAATGTAAAGAAAGAGCTTGATATATATAGGTTGGCAAGAACAAACCTGAGTAGGAAACTTGCAAGTGTTGAGACAAATTCCTATGCATTTACTTTCTTCTAAGTACTTGCATTTTTCAACGAAAACCTGCATCAGTAAGCTTTGAATATTGAATTGATGTTCAAAAAATCCAAAATATCAGCAACTCCCACGGAAATTCATGAACATGGTAATCAATAGTTCATACCCCACTTTGGCAAGACGATCCATCAGGTAATTCAATTGAATTTACAGTACAAGTTCCCATTAGCCATTGACAAGTCAACGCAGTCACCCTTGCTTTCAACACAGAGGAAAAAGAAAAAGAGAGCAGAACAGTTCAACTAATCTTCAAAATCTTACACCAGATGGATCAAAGTCAAACAAATGAAAAGTAATTGATTCCCAAATAAAAAGGAACAATATCCAAATTCTAGATACAGATAAAGATTGAAGGACTCAACTCACCGACCATAATCGCAGCCACTTTCCCACCAGCTATAGGTGATACCAACATCCGATAAAGTTCCAATAGAAGAGGAGGAAACAAAGCTATTAAAATTCGAACCTGCAGCAACAACCAAATTTCCATAATGAAATCTACGAACCTTAACTCGCGATAACAATTTCAGTTACGATCAAATGTTCAAAGAGTACAAAAAACTTAGATGTTCTGTTCTGTATCTACAAATTGTTCTTAAAAAAGAAATACCGACGCTTCTATGGTATCGGAATTGGATTTGCCCTTCATCGTGAGCCTGTTAGCGACTTCGATTAGTCCATCATATCCAGGTTTTTCTGAATCCCAGCCGACTTCCTGCAGTCAAAACACACATTAAAGAATTAACTTCAACTACTTGCTTTCTCAGAAACTCGATTGGTGATAACAACGAAAGTGAAGTGTTGAATTAAACAACCTGAACCATTTTGCTTCGGAAGAGGTTGAGGAAGAAATCGTCGAGCATTCCAGGCTTGTAATCGGGCTTTGAAGATACTTCAACCTTTGTCTATGGATTAATTTGAAATACAATGAAGATAAGAAAAAGTCGATTGAATTCAAAAACGGCGAGGGGAAAATTGAAACCCTACCGATTCAGATTGAACAGCGAAACAGGAGAAGTTTAAGGGACGCTTTCGAAGGTGGGATTTGGAGGAGAAACGAAGAGCAGCTGAAGAGATGGTGGCTGGAGGATGAAGAAGAAGAGCCACTGGCTTCATTTTCACTTTCCACACACAACCGAAACGCTTCACTGTTTTGGGCTTTTAGAACGAATATCCCAATTTTGCGAGGGCAATTAGATAAATATTCCTTTGATAACTAACTAAACTGTAATTACACACGCATCCTATTTCATATTTCACAATTTTTTTTTTTTTTAATTTTAAAAATAAACCTTTATAATTTTCTAATAATAATAAAAAAAAAAAAAAAAAAAAAGATTGGTGTAATAGGCTAAAAATTTATTTTAGGAAAAAGACTATTAGACTATAATTATCAAACTAAGGAAATAAATTCTCTTTTGAAATTATATATTAAATTAAACTTTTTTTAAATCATAGAAATGGAAAGTTTTTGTTTTTAATTTGGCATAATTTACTTATTTAAATGTGATTGAATTGAAATATAATAGAAGAATATATTAAACTCAATTTATAGAAACTCTATATTAGGAATCACAATCTTTCACAATCCTCCCCAATGGCACAATATTGTTTAAGTTGAGTATAACTGGTGACTTTGCTTTTGGTACCTTCAATAAGTCTCATACTAATGAAAATAGTGTTACTTACTCGAACGAAGGACTCCCTCCCAACCATCCTCATCACTCTAATGTCCTAAACCTGTTGACTCGTTGTACACGCCAATAATGCTATTATCTTGAAGCAAAAAAACCAAATATAAGCACATTTGGAACATATGAAACAAATGGATCCAACAAATAATCCCTTTAAAACTAAAAAATTAGAATACACTTTTACAGATATGGTGGTAACGTCCACAGCTACCACTATAGATACAACAATAGACCCCTCTAAGTCACGAACTCAATAATAATGCAAATAACAACACATCAGGCATCTATAAACCGAATGTCGAAGGTGTGTGGATGAATTTGCCACACATTCAAGGCTGCGTACTCCTCCAAACATTCTTTTAGCTGAGCTTCACTGTATCCCTGAGAGAAACCCGAACATTTAAATTTCCAATAGTTAGTTAGATTCAGTTTTGATGAAAGAAAAGATACCGTGAATGGATCTTTTTGAATCAACATCTACAAATTATGGATTTTAGCAAATTTGTGACATCGATTTGAAGCATAGTTGTTGCTACTAAGCTAAATATCACCATGATGAAACTTCAAGTACAGTATTTAGTAACAAGAATCTCTCTAGACTAGCAATATATTTCCTTGTTCTAACAGTAATCATACTTTAAATAATTTGTGAGAAGAAGATAAAAGGCCTTGGAAATTTCAGAGCTGTTTCTCCCATCCAGGGAAGATAAAGAACCAGTAAAAACATTATGATTTTAGATGTATCTCCTCTTATATGTTCAGTCTATCAAATGTGTTCAACTGAGTGGAGCATGATGTAGGAATTCCAAGTGTAAACGACTATAAGAATAAGAATAACTAACCTTCCTAGAAATCCAGTTAAGGGCATGTGCATAGCTCACATCCATTTTATTCGTTCTGGCAGCTTCATCACGCAGGATTGAATAGATATCTGAGATAGCATCTAGACCGGATTTTTGACGGTCATCCGAGTACAGAGAAAATTTTGACATTTGCATTAACCGTAGAGCCTCATCGACATCGCTCTGAACCACAGTCTCAGAGAATCTAAGCCTTGCTAGAGCCTGTGAAGGAAGTGTTCAATTCAAAGTTTCATTAGTTCATCAAAACTACATACATTATGTATACTTACCATGAGCTAAGTGGTCAGCACTTTTTTTGCTACCAACCCAAGTCGGACCATGAGTTCAGCTTGGGCAAAAATATTTCAATCTAGTTGAAATATCAAATGCGGGGAAGGAACAGTATCTTTGTCTCTATTTGCTATTTAGTTCTATGGGGGGCATAATAACGTACAGAAGAGTTTATAGGTTATTCTTATGAATAAATGCAAGATAAGACTTACAGCTGATATCCGGAGAATGCTTAGTAGAGTTCTGACTGTGGTATATGAATGTGGAGTGTTAGATTTAGCTTCTTCCTGTCGAATACTGGAATAGGCACTGGCAATATACTCCTCTAGATCCTTGGGAACGTAAGGAGACAATCTTCTCGCAGCTGAAATATAAGCTCTGACCCAGCCACCAAAACGACGAAGTACAAATTTAAAAAGTGAGAATTGAAGAATTTTCAGGCAACCGAAATTGATGATGGATTTGTAAAATTGGAAAAGAATGAAGATTTTCAGGCCCCAATGCATGCATTTAGTACAGAGGTATAATATAATCTGAGAATTGATGATTGAAAAGAACATCTGTAGGATCTATAGCTCTCTGTTGGGAAGATTCACTTTCATTGGCAGAAATTTTGAGGAAACATGGAAGTCTGACATAGTAAGCAGAACTTATCTGGTCATCAGAACAGAAATGTATAGATTATTTTTTTCCTTTTTAAAAACAGAAATATACAACTTATTGGTTCATTAAACAGAGGTTGATAAGAAAGAAAAGAATGAAACGCTGATAATTATATTTTAACTAAGCCCCAAGCATAAAGAAGAGCATGTATGAGGATTCTGAATGTTTAGATTTTGAAAATCAACTAAAGAAAAGCCTCCTTTTAATCTGAAATCATTATACTTCCTAGTCTAATATGTACGCAAGAAAGCAATTGTAACACTTACCGAAGAACAGATGATTCAAGTGGGGTGAAGCCAAGGGCAGGAGATTCTCTATTCTGATGAACATAAACAACATGTCTAGCCATTTCAAGATCGTTATCCATATCAGCTCGATCTAGGATCAACCAAAGAAGATCAAATCTTGATAATAGAGCTGGAGGAAGGTTAATGTTTTCAGCTGGAGTTCTACGTAGGTCGTATCTTCCCCTATGGAGATACAATAAGCATACTTCATGATCCCATAAAACTGAGAAAAGTTGCTCAAAGTATAGAAACGGAAACCCACTTGAAATAGAGAATCAGAAAATGGCTCAAAAAGATCATTGAGGTAAGTACCATGCTGGATTGGCTGCAGCAAGGACAGCAGTCCTGGCATTAAGAGAAGTGGTGATCCCAGCCTTGGCAATGCTCACAGTCTGTTGCTCCATGACTTCATGTATTGCTGTACGATCAGATTCTTCCATCTTGTCAAATTCATCAATTGCACATATTCCCATATCAGCTAATACCTGAAGTAGTTCAATTTCGCACTCAGTGAAACTTTGATACCTCAGAAGCTATGATGAATCTAAAGAGAGCAAAGTGCAAATTTTGTTTTGAGACATGAAGTATGTGCCTCACCAATGCCCCTCCTTCAAGGACCATCTCATTTGTGACAGGATCCTTCTGAACAGCAGCCGTTAGACCAACCCCACTGCTACCTTTGCCAGTCGTGTAGACACCCCTGGGAGCAACATTGATGATGTGTTTAAGAAGTTGACTCTTCGCAACTCCAGGATCACCCATCAAACATATATGCAAGTCTCCTCTAATCTGCGACGAGTTTGGAATTTGAGAATTTATAATTCCATCTTGAAAATTATCTTAAATATCAATATAGAATGCACCAGTTATAGGAAAAAGGAGGGGAAAAAACAAACTTTCACGGAAATTAATAATGGACCAGCACATTGCCTTATTGATTGATTGCAGCATAAAAAATTAACAAAAAAAAAAAAAAAACCCCATGCATCAAATATACTCAAGATGATTTTATGTTTCTACCTTCATCCCATCTTTCAACTTTCTATGAGGAGCACCCACAAGGAGAAGCAGTAAAGCTTTTTTAATATCTTCATGCCCAAAAATTTCAGGTGCCAACGACCTTGAAAGTTTATTGTAAATATCACCATCCTCGGCCAAACGTGCAATTAGTTCCTCCTCATCTCCTCTAAGTTCATATCTGCAGTACAAAACAACTAAAAAAGTAAAGGTTCTATACTGAACCAAGTTAACGCAATAGATCAGTTATAAGAGATCAAGAAAGAAAGCTGGGAATAATGCAGACAAGATGCCACTAAAAGCAGATTATAGATGAAATTGTTTAAGTAGAAAATGATGGTTGAAGAATGGCATACTCCTCATATTTTTTCTTGAAATGGGTGATAGACATGGCCTCTAAGAATGTATCAGCAACCAAACCAGCACGCATTGCCCTGAAACCCGTATAGGGAATAGGAAGAAAAATCCCTGATAGTTCGACAACATCACCTGGAGCTACCTGACAATGCTCAGAAAAAGGACAGGTGTGAACTAATTATTCTCATACAAAATTACTCATGGAGCAAAAGGGCTGAATGTACACATGCCAATATGTGTCACATTAAATTCTAATGTTTTCTAGATAAGAATAGAAACTAAAACCCATCACTCAAAGAAGCTGAATGCAAACTTAAAAATTTGAGTTCCGAGCATTTGCTCTAATTATTACTGAAACTCATTGACGTTGTTCCTTGAAGTTTCAATAAGACATAGCTACGAAAAAAAAAAGATCATATTGGCATGATGGACAAATACAATAAACATTTCAAGGTCACGACTCACAAGCAATAGTTGCTGAGGCTAGATAGATCAATCAGCCTCACTAAACAAAATCCTAGTCACCATCAGAAATACCAGTGGGAATTTACTTGCAGAACTAACCTTCCTTGTTAGTTCACCCCTGAGATGAACAGTCATTGTCCGGGGAATATGACCTTTTGGAACATGCTCAGCTAACTCTTGAATTTTGGCCTGCAAACCAAATGCTCCAGCATGCCTTATGACGAATATCAACCAAGATATGAAATTGTAATAGAAATATTTTTCCACCAATGTCTTTAAAGAAGTTAATTGATGACCTCCTGAAACTTCAGAAATTTGGATGCTCTAAGTTGAAGAATTAGGTTGCCTTTCGTTTGGTTTGTTCTACAACGCTGAGATGGACACTCAAATAAAGGCATGAAGACTCGAGCTGTTACCTCCTGTGAAGCAGAAAAGTGGCTACATGAATGAACAATACAGTGAGAGTGAAGAAATGAACATCCAAGCGGAGGAAAAAGAAGCTAAAAGTTAAATAACCACAGTAAAATCTAAGCCTTTCCTAAAAATCATACTAAGAGAAGGGCCACACAATTTTAAAAATCAATGACATTAGTGATGTTAATGCAAGTGATAAAATCATGATTTATCACCGATAAAATATTCGTTTCATCATCAATTTCGTTCTTCTTGAAAAGGGATGGAAATCACAGCTTTACAATTTAGATTACCTGATATATCTCAAAACCACAGTCTTCGCATGTATAAACAGCCACCTGCATCAATGGCTTTACATCTGAACAGCGCGTCACAATACCAGATATCCTCACAAGTTGACCAATATATGAAGCTTTGACCTCTCTTATGGTAAATGGACGACCCTTTGAAGATGCTCTAATGTAAACTTCACTGAATAAAAAATGATTGAGCATAAGATAGTTTTGAAATGACGTAATCCCTTAAAAGTATACAGTAAAGTACAGGTAATTCATTTAGAAAAGATGTTCGGGAATGAAAACCCCACACATTAAATAATAGCATTGGTGCAAATATCAACCAATTGGAACTGAATAAATGAAATTCTTCGTTTATGAACATGTTTGTCATTGAAGACAAATCATGGAAGCCAAGAAGTAACAATGACAATTCGGTAGCCCTCCTGAGACACACAAAGCATAAGAAATCAAAGATCACTCGTATAGTAATCCCAAGTCTAGAACCAATTGGACAAGTTTTCAATTAACCTTCCTTGTGAGCCCAGAAAACACAGTACAGAATATCATTATGCACAGTTGACGGTGCAAAAAAACACAGAGTCTATGTAAAAGCATTTTGGTATTGAATGAAAAGTGATTAGTCATGCTACACTAATTTTCAGTATACCCTCAACTCTGAAATCTGAAGGAATAGGAGCGCAATGAACTCACAAGTAACGTTTAATTTCTGGAGGCATTTTTTGGCGTGGGTCAGGGTTATCAGCAGTATCCGGTCCATCATCGGACCTTTGAGTCATTAATATGTCATGATCGTCATCTATAAACGCCTCTGTTGGCTCTGGCATGAGCTCATCGATCGCATCGGCAAAGATTCCAATATATCGTCGAGTGTTCTCTGTAAGACGTCTGAGGAAATCCTCGTCCAAGTCCTTATACTGAAATACAATTGCATAGAAAACTGTGCTATTTAACTAATCAATTAGACATGATCGGGAAAAGAGAGAGAGAGAGAGAGAGAGAGAGAAACAAAAGCGTACATTAAAGACATCCTCGAGATCGATTTGAATTGCACGAACTCTGCGATTTGCAACCTCTTGCTAAAAAAAGATCAAATCAAAACCTAAAAAACAAAACGTCTAAAGAAACAAAATCACCAAACAAATCGATAACAGGAGGTAAGCACAATTTAGGGTTTAAAACTAAATCACCAAACAAATTTACAATTACAGTGGAGAAACAGGAATGAAAATGTGGAAGATTTACCAGAATGTTTAAATACTTCGCGTCGCCATTGGCGTCGGCAAAGTTCGCGATGAACTCCTTTGCGAGCACTGCAAAGGAATTGCAACAAGTTTTCAACTGCAACTTTCGGGAAAAAAAAATGGTAGAGAGACTACAGATATTGTTGCTTACCTCTATCGGCGGTGAAGTCCAGAGCTCCGGTATCTTTCATGGCTGACATTTCGGAGAAGCGGGGAGACGGAAATGGTGATTCTAAGGATGCGTCTGGGAGGTCTAAGGATTTAGCGGCAAATGATGAGAGGAAGTGTTCTTTTAGGCGGGAAAATAAGTGTCGGATAAAAATATTAATAAATAAATATATAAATCGAAGAGAAAAAAACCATAAAATATTAAAATATAAAATTGAGTGTGGCTGCTGGGATTCGAGCCCAGGTCTCCACGGCCACAACGTGGAATTCTTACCACTAAACTACAGCCACCTTGATGTCTAAAAAATTTCTATTAAAAATTTAATTTATTAAAATATTAGATCTTAAAATTGAAGTTAATTTAAATATTGATAATTACAATAATAAGACACTATTTCATTTCGTCATTCTACAACTTTATTTCTGTATGTAATAGTTTAATTTTGACTTATTTTATGACAATCCTCAATAGTTATTATTTGTTTAATCAATAAATTTGAAAAAAATTGGTACTCTACCCTTTTTTTTTTAATTAAAATTGGACGATGATAAATTATATTAATTTATTTCATAAAAAAATGAAAGGATAATTTAGATTACTAAAATAATATTTATAAGTGCTCTTTGAGTTTATGATAGGTCAATTTTAACATCCTTATCAAATTAAAAAAATATTAAAATGTTAAATTTGAATTTTTAAATTTTTTTAAATTGGTAGAAACTAAAATTTAGAACATATTATTAAAATATTGTCCACTAACACATATATAAGATCATAATAGTTGTTTAATTATGTCGATGGTTAACATGTAACTAAAATCATTTAAAAATATATATATATTGAAGTTTGACAAACCCAACCGCTTATGCTCAAATTCGATATCATAACATTGTGGAATCTTGTTCATCTGGTATCAAAGTCATGCCCTAAACTTAGTCACGACAATAGATTAGTAAATCCTCAAATGTCGAACAAAGAACTCTAAAAAAAATAAGGAGTTAAGCCTCCTTGAAGACATTGTAAAAAATGACTAAAAGTCCAAAAGAAAAATGAGTCGAGACTCGATTAAGGGGAGGCGTAGTTTGTTCGAGGGAAAGTGTTGGATGATGAAAGTCTCACATCAACTAATTTAGAGAATTATCATGAGTTTATAATAAAGGAATACTATCTTAATTGGAATGAAACATTTTGGGGAAGCTTAAATCAAAACCATGAGAGTTTTTACTCTGGACAATATGGAAAGTCGGTTCCTCTAACAACTCCATTATTTTTATTTCACGAACAAACGAAAACCAAAACCTCCCTAACTAAAAATTAAAAAAACACACAAAACCTTTCTACTACATCAGAAAATTAAAATAAATTATTAATTGAAATAAATTACTCAGTCCTCGTACGTGCGACACTCCTCCGTCTCGGGATTATCCTTACAAAACTCCTCGAGCGGGTCTGCATCCTTCAGCCGGTCACGTGCGTGGCTAGCGGCGGCGCTGAGCTCCTCCACCTCATCCCACGCCGCCGCACACTCCCCACTCTCTGGATCATCCGAGCACGTCTCCTCCGCGTTCTTTATGCTCTCCACCACCTTCTCCGATATCCGGTCCGGGGCGGCGGCCGCCGGTCCAGCTACACTGACCCGACCGGCAGTCCACCGCTTCCACTGGTAGCTGAGCCGGGTGGATCGGAGGACCGGCGATTCGGGTTTCTGCGAGTCAGCCACCGCCTTTAAGGCTGCCATTGTCGTGCCGGAAATCGCTGCCATTTTTTCTCGGAGGAGTGAGCTGAAGGTGGAGCGGTGGATTTGGATAAATGATTAAAAAAAAAAAATCATTGGGGGATATATAATTGGATGCTGTGGGTTTGGGAGCACATATTTCTTATCTGGTGATGGCCAGTGAGGAATGGCCACGTGGATGGGTTTTGTCGTGTTTTGGGTACGTCGCATATTGTTTTAAACATAATTAGGATGTTTTTAACCTTCCTTTAACCTTAAAAATCTCTTTTAGTGAATGATCATAATTTTATAATATGAGGTATTTTTTTATAAAAGCTAAGCAAAGTCATGAAAACTTAGGTTTAAAATTGATAATATCATATTATAAAGTCATATTTGTCACGGAATATTTATAAAGTTTTATTAAATTATAAGAATAAAATTATAATTTTTTAAAAAAATGAATAAGTATATATAACTTTTTTAAATGAGAATCCATACTTTAAAATTATAAACTCTGTCACATTAACAAAATAGTTAAATGACAAAATAATAATTTAAATATATAAGATACCACATTGGTTATAAATAGTTATAAAACATTTCTTATAAGAGTATGAAAACTTTTTTTTATAGTAAACCGTTTTAAAACGAGAAGTTTAAAGGGAAATCCCAAATATGACAGTATTTGCTAGTAGTAAGCTTGAGCTATTACTTATGGTATCAAAGTCAGGCACCTAGCTGTAAGCTTGAATTGTTACAAATGGTATCAAAGTCAAACACCTATCAATGGGTTTGAGCTGTTACTAAGCGCCTAGTGGTAGCCTTGGGTTGTTACTAATTGACTAAAAGTGAGTCATCGAGCAGCGTGCCAGTGAAGACATTTTTTGTGGGCTTAGATTGTTATAAATGTTATCAAATCTAAACATGGAGCGGTGTGCCAGCAAATATGCTGGTGTCGGAGGTGGATTGCGAGAGCCCACCTAATTACTCGTATAAATTTAATGAAATTAAATAAAAATTAAATTGTAGATGAAGAGAGGAAAAAAATAAAAAATAAAAATAAGAATTCATAATATGCGGGGGAATTTAAATTTAATGCATACGGTCGAGATACTTTCGCCCAATTGCAACTGGTCCGCCAATCTGCCGGGAATCGATGAAGACGATGATGCGCTTTCACAAACTTTCTCGCCCCCTCTCTCTACTCCCTCCCTCTCTCCCTCCCTCTCTCCCTCCTTTCTCCTCCATTTCTCTCCCTTCTTCTCTTTCTCTCACAACCCGCCGCAGATTGCACTCTGCAACACTCCCATCTCCCTCCCTCATGGCCTCGTCTAGGCTCCGCAACCTTGTTCCTCTCAACGCGATCGTCTCCGAGGACAGTGGTGGTGGCGGCGGTGGCGGAGGCACCAATGGTTCTGTTTCTTCCTCTTCGGCTTCAGTCTCTAATGAAGATGATGGTACTGGAAAGAATTTCTCATTGAGTTGTTTATTCTATTGTGGCTGTCTAGTGCCGATTGTTTAGTTAATTTAGCGCTATGATACTGTTTGATTGTATTGGTCAAGGTATTGACGGGATTGATTTTATTGTTCTTAGGTTATGGACTTTAGCGTCACCTGGACTTGGTCGGGCGTATTCTTTATAATCATATTGAATTTGATTGCTCGTAATTCGTAATCGTACATACCTGATCTTTGAATTTTTCTTTTTGTGCTTTTTCTTGTGGAAGCAATTTATTATTTATCAGTTTTTGTCGTAATGAAATATATAATTCGATTACATGTGCTATTTGTGTGAAGAAGTGCTTAGTTGAAACTCAGTACGGTGGTGCTCTTCTTTCTTTAGGGATTTTTGAGCTTTTTAACTAAGTTTGTTTGTGGCTTGCTTACTGAAATCCAATACCTTCACCACATCGCTCGAAGTTTTTATTTGATGGTTGTAGTGGTGTTTCTGACTCATGATATGTTTATTCCGAGAATTCAGTTCTGGGGGTTGGGTATCGTCTTCCTCCCACTGAAATCAGGGACATTGTTGATGCTCCACCGCTTCCCATATTGTCATTCTCGCCACTTAGGGATAAAATATTGTTCCTCAAGCGAAGGTCTTTACCTCCAATATCAGAGCTTGCAAAACCAGAAGAAAAGCTGGCTGGTATTCGTATTGATGGACAGTGCAATTGCAGAAGTCGAATGTCATTTTACACAGGCATAGGGATTCATCAGTTGATGCCTGATGATTCCTTGGGTCCAGAGAAGCTGGTGCATGGCTTGCCAGATGGTGCTAAGATTAATTTCATTTCCTGGTCACCTGATGGCCGTCATTTATCTTTCAGTGTGCGAGTTGATGAGGAAAATGGCAGTAGCGGTAAGCTCAGAGTTTGGGTTGCTGATGTTGAAACTGGGAAAGCTAGACCATTGTTTCAGAATACAGACATATGTGTAAATGCAGTTTTTGAGAATTTTGTTTGGGTAAATGATTCTACTTTGTTAGTTTCTACCATTCCTTCCTCTCGTGGAGATCCACCAAAGAAACCCTTGGTTCCTCATGGTCCAAAAGTTCAATCTAATGAGCAGATGAGCATTATTCAAGCCAGAACCTTTCAGGACTTGCTAAAGGACAAATATGATGAAGATTTGTTTGACTACTATGCCACTACCCAACTTGTTTTGGGTTCATTGGATGGCACAGTTAAGGAGTTTGGCACACCAGCTGTATATACGTCACTAGACCCTTCCCCTGATCACAAATATATTTTGATCAGTACTATTCACAGGCCCTATTCTTTTATTGTTCCATGTGGAAGATTTCCTAAAAAGGTAGCTGTGTGGACAACTGATGGAAAATTTATTAGAGAGCTCTGTGATTTGCCTCTTGCTGAGGACATCCCCATTGCATTCAACAGCGCAAGAAAGGGGATGCGTTCCATCAATTGGAGAGCAGATAAGCCATCAACACTTTACTGGTGTGCATCCGAGTCCCTAAATCAATCGTTACTGCTCTTTGCATATTTATGGACATCCCTTTCTTATTTGTGTTTAAATTTTTAAATATTTATGTTATATGTCACCTTGTAAGGAAAAGAATCGGTTCATGCTTACTAATTACTGTCAGCATTTGCACCTGTATTGCTCGTTTGAGTTTATCTGTTTACTTTGTCTCAATTTTTTAGGGCGGAAACTCAAGATGGTGGAGATGCGAGAATAGAGGTTTCTCCTCGTGATATTGTTTATACGCAATCTGCTGAGCCTCTAGAAGGTGAACGGCCAGAGATATTACACAAACTCGATCTTCGTTACGGGTATGTTCTCCTTTCTTCCTCTGTTTTTTATCCTGGTCATTATGTTAGATAGCCTCTAAGAAAGTTGAAACTGACCTTTTACTTTGACATTGTTCAACTTTAACAGAACCTTTTTTTTTTTTCAATCTCTATAACGTATTTGGTTAAACATGTTCCCTGAATGTAGAGTAACCTGAAGATGTCTGAAAAACCTGATAGTATATTGAAGGTGAAAGTGACCTGCTTCGGGAATTCAAACCATACATGGTCTTGCCTATGCTTGGCTATATTAAATCTCTCATCACATAATTTTGCCATTACTTCCAACGCTCTTCATTCCATAACTACTAATCTTTCTTCTAAATTTGTGGAACTTCTGATGTTCCATAAATCTATTTACTTTATTCAGAGGTTGCCTCCTACATCTATTTTGGGATTTTCTTTTTACAAATTTTCTAAATCAATTTGTTATCCTCGAAATTTTGTTTTAATACGTTTGCCTTGTTTATTGCTGCAGAGGAATATCTTGGTGCGATGACTCGCTGGCTCTTGTTTATGAATCTTGGTACAAGACGCGCAAAATACGAACTTGGGTAATCTCTCCTGGATCTAAAGAGGACAATCCTCGCATTCTATTTGATAGGTCATCAGAAGATGTGTATTCAGACCCTGGGTCACCGATGCTGCGGAGAACACCTCTTGGGACTTATGTAATTGCGAAGTTTAAGAAGGACAATGATGAAAGCACATATGTTCTACTGAATGGTAGTGGTGCTACCCCGGAAGGGAACATCCCTTTTATTGATTTATTTGACATGTAAGTGTTTTAATTTAATCATACCTTGTTTTGTTCCTCTTGTTGGTGCTATTAATGCAACAATGGTTCTGAAAATATTCCTTCAGAAACACAGGCAGGAAAGAAAGAATATGGAAGAGCGACAAAGAGAAGCATTATGAGAGTGTTGTGGCGTTAATGTCTGATGAGAAAGAAGGAGATTTAAATATTGATCAACTGAAATTTTTGACTTCCAAGGAATCCAAAACTGAAAACACCCAGTACTACATACTGAGGTGGCCTGATAAGAAAGCAAGTCAAATTACAAATTTTCCTCATCCATATCCCCAGCTGGCATCACTGCAGAAAGAGATGATCAGATACAAGAGAAAAGATGGAGTTCAATTGACAGCCACACTATATCTGCCACCAAAATATGATCCAGCAAAAGATGGTCCTCTTCCATGCTTGATCTGGTCTTACCCTGGTGAGTTCAAGAGCAAAGATGCTGCTGGACAAGTCCGTGGTTCCCCTAATGAGTTTGCTAGTATAGGTTCAACATCTGCTCTTCTTTGGTTGGCTCGCAGGTAGAAGTGCCTCTTCAAGATTATTGCCTTCACATTATTTTTGAATCGCTGTCTATTTTGTTCAAGTTCATCAAGTCTTTCAGGTTTGCTATTTTGGCTGGACCAACAATACCTATCATTGGTGAAGGTAACGAGGAGGCAAATGATAGGTAATTGGTACCGCATTTTTGTGCTTAAATATTTCATTGGGTTTTTTTCATTTAATAATTCAATTTTGTTAAAAATCTAAAGCATTCATGTTTTGCTAGATATGTAGAGCAATTGGTTGGTAGTGCAGAGGCTGCTGTTGAGGAGGTCATTAGACGGGGGGTGAGTGTTCTGTTTTCTTTACCAATATTTTCTTGGATTATAAAATAGTTAACCATGTTGATATGCCACCATGACTAGGTTGCTCATCCTAATAAGATTGCCGTTGGTGGACATTCATACGGTGCGTTTATGACTGCAAACCTTCTGGCTCATGCTCCCCATCTTTTTTGCTGTGGAATTGCTCGCTCCGGTGCCTATAACAGAACACTTACCCCTTTTGGCTTTCAGGTAGTTGCATACTTAAAGAGTCAATTTTCCTCTATACATTGCCCATACAAAAGTGAAATGGCTTAAATTCCTATGCCTAAAAGTGTTCCAACATTTCCACACACTTCTACTCTACCTATCCTTTGTTCTGCTAATCTGACGAGCTATACTTTATTGTTATAGAATGAGGATAGAACTCTTTGGGAGGCAACCAACACATATGTAGAGATGAGTCCATTTATATCAGCAAATAAAATCAAGAAGCCAATTTTACTCATTCATGGTGAAGAAGACAACAACCCGGGAACTTTACCTATGCAGGTTTGGTCTGGAATTTCTAACTGTTTGGTTTTGTTTGCTTGCAAGTTCTTGAACCAATAAACAATTAAATAATACAGTTTTGTTTGCCTACAGTTTCATTCTTAACTTGCTTAGAAACTCATCTCGTGTTTGCATGCTTCGCAGTCCGATCGATTTTTCAATGCCTTGAAAGGCCATGGAGCATTATGTCGCCTTGTGGTTCTTCCCTTTGAGAGCCACGGCTATTCTTCCCGAGAGAGTATCATGCATGTCCTCTGGGAAACTGATAGATGGCTGGAGAAATACTGTATGTCTAACCCTTCTGATTTAAGTCAAGATGTGGGTAAAAGCAAAGAGGAAGGTAGTGGAGCAGCAGATTCTGAAGGGAAAGTTGTTACCGGTTCTGGGGGTGGTGGTGCCGAGCGCTCAAGTTCTGATAATGATGGATTTTACTCTATTCGAAGATCATTGTTGTGGTAATTTCCTCACTTTTAGTTGCTGAAATACATAAATAAACCATTTTAACCTGAAGCTATAAAACAGAAAGGAAACATAGCAAAAGGAATTCCTCTTAACTCATGTCTGCATGGCTTTCTTTTTCTTCGAAAAACTGCTGTGAATTTGAATTGAGTGTGAGGCAAGCGGTTGGACCATCAACCTCAATGAAACTATCAACTCGATGAAACAAATTAATGGTTTCTAATGCTTTTGATTTAACATCATTCTAGCTTGTCAAGGCAGGAGTTGGAGGTTGGGTGACGAAGTGGTTTGCCATCATTATGTTTGTCCTCTACCATTTTATTGCAAATGGAAAGCTTCTTTATACAGATCATATGCGACACATCGCTCAAGATTCTCTATCCATTTTCTGTACTTAATAACTCTTGGAACATTCTGCTTTTGTTTGGTAGATTTTTTGCTGAGCTGTTGCGGCCAAGAATAAAGTGGAGAACAAATTTGTAAAATAAGCAGCATGGAGGCGGACCCTCGAAGTACAACAACGTGCATTGGAAGATGCAGATCCATGGTTCTGAAGTGTTATCATTCAAGATTAAAGGAAAGAGTGGCGTTTGGTAAGAAATTTACATCATTTTTCCATATTGCAAAGACGCTTAGTTGGGAAATCATGTTCTGATTGCTATTTGATTTATGGAGGCTTCAGTTTATATGCAGACAATTTGGGCAATGGCAACCTGAATCTTCTGAAGCAGCTATCTGCTTCTTTGTTTCCGTACTTATAAAAGATAAAATTAGTTGCTATTTTCCAATGTTATTTGAAATAATTTCTCTTAGCTCTGATTTCTGGTAAATGGCTCTCGTTTATACAATTTTTCAATACCCTTCTATGTTTTGTATGAAGTTCTCTTTTCTTTTCATATGTTGAACCTAATCATTCACGACCATCTTCATATTTATATTTAGCATTTTCTAAAAATTATATATTCTACCTTATGAAATTATTTCAGGTTTAAATTATAACATTTTCAAGTAAAATTTATTTATACTTGTTTTTTCTTATACTTGGTCTTGAAGTATAAAACGTTCCATTTATTCCTGAATTCTTAGTCTTGAAGTAGAAAACTCCATCTGTTCCTGAATGGCTTCTTTCATTGTTTTCTCTTATACTTGGTCTTGAAGTATTCACTATTTTCTCTTATACTTGGTCGGTCTTGAAGTAGGAAATGTAGGAAACGTTCCATCTATTCCTTTACTTGTTTTCTCTTATACTTGATCTTAAAGTAGAAAACAAAACGTCCCATCTGTTCCTGAATAGCTTCTTTCAAAAGGACTTCTACTTTAGGGGTGTCTTGGTGAAAGATATTCTTTCTTAAAACTCTGTTCCTAAATAGCTTCTTTCAAAAGGACTTCTACTTTAGGGGTGAATGTCTTGGTGAAAGATATTATTTCTTAAAACTGAGGTGTTCCTTTACTTGTTTCCTCTTATACTTGGTCTTAAAGTAGAAAACGTCCCATCTGTTCCCGAATAGCTTCTTTCAAAAGGACTTCCACTTTAGGGGTGAATGTCTTGGTGAAAGATGTATATCCTTCTCCTAAACAATTGTCCTTGTGCTTATGAACAAAAAAAAAAAAAAAAAAAAAAAAAAAAAAAAAAAAAAAAAAAAAAAAAAAAAAAAAAAAAAAAAATTCATTTTACCAAGTCAAATCAAATCATAAAAAAAGTGTTACATGTTGTTCATATAACTCACAAGTTGCCCTGTTTATTGAGGAAACCAAGCAATAGGGGATGGGACTGAGGCTTTGAGCTCTGGTGAGAAAAATGTTGAATGTGATGCACAGTAGCATAATAGATCACGAAACAAGGTTTACTTATAAAGTCCAGAAAAATCTGTCTCCCTCCCTCATGTCTTATTTGCAGAAATTGTTGCAAAACATAAGCATGTTATCTCTAATCCAAGAGCAAATACTAAAATGTTGACCAATGTGTTCCACAAGATCATGATAGATTGAACGATCTATTTATTCTTCATCGACAACGACACCGATCTCACCCTTCTCCAGTAGATCGTAGAAAGCTCTCACTTTCCTCTGCTCATTCCATTGATGCATTTTCCAAAAGCTACCAGCAAACAAAGCAACTCCCATTGCTGTCAATATCTCCTTGACGACACTTGGTCCTTTAAGTGTGACATGAGCCACCCTACCAGCAGCCATTTGCTTTTCTTGTTCAAAAACAGTACGAAAATCTGCCCGAGAGATCGAACACAAACAATTATAAGAACAAGTAGACCTAACCATATAATCTTTCTATTAGCCCATGGAAGCACAACAACATAGTTCAGAACTATTTGCAAAGGAAAAGGGCAAGTTCAATGAAGACTTTCATCCTTCAAGAAGCAAGAACAACTCACCTTACTTCAGAAACAAAGGGAAGGAAGAAAGGATTCATTTATGGAGAAAAATGAAAGAAAATACATGTGAGCATACCGAAAACAAATTAGCACAAGACAAAGGGAGTTCATGGAAATAGTCTCTAAAAAAGGGCTTCAATGATTCAAAATAAGAATTTATAAAATTTTCTAGTGATAAAAAACCCAAAGGGGGCCATGGAGCTCACTAAAGACCCTCCTCCGCCCGAGAAATATTCACCCCCCGAAAATCATTCTATTTCTCTCAAGTCAAATGGGGCTACAAAATATCCAACAAAAAAAAAAAGGCCGTCATCTGCAAGACACTCCCTTATCTTTGAAATGAGGATGAAACAAAGCTTTGTCCACCATCGAACGATGTAATCTATCACGGGAACTCATTTGATTTCGATCCTATGGGAAACGAAGAAGGAGCAACAACGGATGATGGCCTGGCCACTTATTCAACAGAATTCTGTACCTATCTTTATTGATATGATTAAGTATGTCCTGGTAAACTACTAATCTAGCCTCTTACAGTTATGGATTGAATTTCTCATCCTCCCCTTCCTCTACTATATGTCATCTATTCCAACAACACATGCATTTCTAAATGTTAAAGAAACACATACATAACGATGAACCCTAGAAAATGCATAAATTAGTTACTAGTGAATAACGATTCTCCATTCCAAACTCCAAATCATCCAGAAAAAACAAGGGGCTCTATAACGAGGGCAACGCCCAAGAAATCCATTCAAACAACTCAATAAGCCTTCGCAATTTCTCAAATCTAAATACGAATATCAAATTAGGTTTTGCCGGAAAAGAAATAAATAATATTAAACCAGTCCTCGCGCCGATACCATATCAATTCCAGATCCAAAAAATCCAAACCAGAAAGAATAGAAACCACCATGTCAACAAATAAAAAGCAACGCATTGATTCAACATACGCATAATCAGATGAAATTAAACCAATGAATCGTAAAACAAAGATTGGATAAGAGAAAAAGGTGAAGAAACGATCGAAAAATCAAAGAGAAGAGCGAATCTTGAAGAGAAGCTAGGGTTTGTTTCGTTTACCAGAAGAGATCGAAGCGATTGGATGGCGCCGGATAATGGAGACTGTGTTACGGTCTTCGGGTTGCTGCCTTGGCTCGAGTCTTTATTTGGGCTTTGCCTATCGGGGAGAGTGGGGTCCACTTGAACACGTCAACGCACCGTTTGTTTGGGGTAAACGTATTAAATTAGTTTTCTTCAGGGGTTAAACTATAAATTTTGCTTTTATCGAGGGTTAAATTATAAAATTTGTCTTTTTTTCGAGATGGTAAATTACATAATATTTAATAACCCCGTTAACTTTCAAATTGGACGCGAAATTAATTTTTATAAATTTTTATTATAAATATTTGAAATTGTATGTAATGTATTTATGTCCTTTAAACTAAGTTTTAAACTTTAAAGACATATCAAATACATAATTAAAAATCATTCAACTCCATCTCTTCCGTTCTAATTCTAAACCTTTCCAAGAACGCCCTCACCCCTCAATCTTCATACTCCTCGCAACTCGATCGCTGCCTTCTCATGCAACGACGTTCTCAGTCCCTGCACCACATGAGACTTAGATCTTTCATTGCTGTCTTTATCCTCTACGATGCAAGTTTTCAAATAGTTGAAGTATGAAGTAGTAAAGAATGACGATTCGATGAAGCGATTCACAGATGGTTATAGTTTTTTTCTTGATTTCGGAAACTACCGAATGGGTTTAGATTTTATATTAATCTCATCAGATTCTCCGTCAAAATCTCATCAGATTCTCCGTCGTATAGTAAATTGCCACCATTTTCATCTTCTTGAAACATTCTTTTATCTCCATCATATTTGATACGAAAATTGATTTGAATGAGAAGGGTATGTTTAGAGATTCACCAACATTTTCCAACCACTTTCACACAAGTTCTATGAAATGATATATGAAATCACACATCGATTGGAAAGAGAAACAAAACATTTCTTATAGAGGTATGGAGACCTCTCCTTAGAAGCGGTGTTTTAAAAACCCAAGGAAGAAACCTAAAAGAAAAAATTCAAAAATAACCTCTAGCGATGGACTTAGACTGTTATGTCCTCCGACAGACATGAGAGAGTGAAACTGCAAGGGTCATGGCATGTAAAAGTCACCATGCCCCTCACGAAAGAAATGAACGTATCAAGCAACCCTCAATGTCTCCTCACTGGCTTCACTGCCCCTTTGGTCGAGATCTGTCCCCTTCGTCTTCTTGACTTTGGTACTGTAGCTGCAAAGATTCTAAACATGGATTCAAAACTAGTAAATTAGAGATAGATTCTACCGCCAGTTGTAATAGCTTTAGCCTACTGCTAGTAGATATTGTCTTCTTTGGGATTTTCCTTTTGGGCATCCCCTCAAGGTTAGCTTAAGTCTACCGCTAGCAGATATTGTCTTCTTTGGGCTTTTCCTTTCGGCCATCCCCTTAAAGTTTTTAAAATGCATCGGCTAGGAAGAGAGAGGTTTCCACACCCTATAAGGAACACATCCACCCCTCTTAGGGTCCCTGTTGTCACGGTCATCCTCGTCTAAGGCATGTTGCCCATGGCCGCATGCCCATGACAAACCCAACCTTTCATGTCTTTTCATATTCTAGTGTTTTACTTTTATATTTTTAGGAAGTATGACATTTCAGAAATATCATGTCTAGGTCTATCAGACATGAAATGCCTCAGAATGTACTATAGGGGGATACGACTAGTTGTCAACTTCTCCCTACCCAAGGTTATATACTGTAAGCAGTTGTTATTTCTCTCTTGCTTACTTATATAACGTTTCTTTCAAAAATCTCTCTTTCGAAAATCTCTCTGTCATCGTTTTCTAAAACCTTCTCTTAAAAATGAGGCCAGAGGCTCGAGCATACGTCGCTTGGCGGTAGACGAAGCAAGAACGAATTGGCTTAGCTCACTTGTCGTTGGAAAGTGAGTGTCGCACAATCGCAAGTCCGTTGCCATTAAAAGTGCGATTGTGACAAGTGATATCAAAGCTTTGTAAGCTCCGTGAAAATAGCAAAGACCGAAAACATGTCGACGACAAAGTCGACACCCAAATCACAAGCCGATCGGCTTACATTAATAGAGGAGGAAATGTTGTTCCTCAAAGAAGCCCCTGACATCATCCGCGTCCTGGAAGCACGGGTGAAAGAATTGAGTGGGAAAGTCGTAGAGATCGACGCAATGGGTAGCCGCCTGGATGGGTTGCCAATCGCAAAATTGATGTTTCGGGTGACCTCATTCGAAGAAAAGGTTGCTCCTACGAGCAGCCCAAGACCGTCTGGTAGCCCCGATAGCTCTGTCGCACACAAGGAGGGATGTGGCGAAGAGTTCGA